CTTTACATAATCACAATTAATAGTATCAAGTTCATCATGATTGTAATAGCAAATGTGTTAAATAACTTGATCAAGAAATAAGTTCAAATAACCATGAAAACCTCATATAAATAATCATAATTAATTCATCTATCCCCTAGGTAAAACGACTAGCAAAGCATAAAGTAAAAGGAAACAAGAACTACGCTTGTATTATAACTAAACATATGAATCAATACAAGTAATAAAGAGTAGGAGAGATGTCACTCTTGTCACTTGAGTTTCAAGCTTTTCTCTCTTCATTGTCTACCTCATTTACGCTTAGTTACTTATATAAAGTCTTATAAAACTACACTAACATACACTAAACTAATGAACTAGAAAATTCTAGTGAAAGTCTACATTTTGGTATAGTTTTTCTAGACTCTAAAGTTAAGCAAAAATGTGTCTTAAATGGCCTATTTATAGAAGAATCAACCCCCAATCAATTATGTTTAAAGTTGATGCAAATTGCTCCTTTGAATTACCAAAAGTTGATTCCAATCCGCTCCATAATTTCTTAGGTATTCCTTCCGAAATTCTTTCATAAAAAGTGGTCAAAAAACTTTTGTGAATAAGCTCCAAGTTTCAAAGCAACTTGTAGAGCTAAAATCAGGATCTGTGAGGCAAGATTTGCGAGGGATGTCTTAGGTATCAAGCTCGCGTATCCACTTGATTGCAAGTTTTGCACTTTTTGATGATTCTCCTCAACATTGTTGTGTTTTTCCATCAATTTAAACTATAAAATTCTTAATGGAAGAAGTTGAACTAACTCTTTCACAAAGCTTGCAAGTTCTAGATAATTAAGTTAGTTTTCCAATACATTAAGAATTATGTCATTTGGAGCTTTGTAGACTAAGAAATGATAGTAATACCTTTGACTAGTCAGCAGCCATTTTCAGATTTTGGCAGCAAAAAATGCATCAATGTATTTTGGTTTTTTGACAAGGAAAATGTATAAACTAGACTTTGATTCACATAAGAATTGTAGGCCTTTGTCTTGGCTTCAAAATGGTTTAAGAATCATTTCAATACAATATGTATAACTCTTGTTATGTTCGAAATACTAGAACCTATCAGAGTAGCCAATCCTTTCTTCATTTGAACTTGATTGCATTTCATCTTTTGAATATTTTGCACTTTACGTTCACTTAAAATCATTTCAAATCATCAAAAATCATGAGAGTATCTTCTCACTTCACCTAATTGATGATTGAGTCACTAAAATCTATAAAAACATGAGATTTTAACCACTTACATCCATAGAAATGTAGTTTTTCTCATTTAAACCACAAAATACAGAAATCACTATAAACCTGTTATTTATCTCTTAAAGTAACTAAAACACACCAAAAACTAAGCAATAAAATACACTAAAATTATGTAAAATACATACTTATCAACTAGCTTACCAAATGCAAGTTCGTTTCTTTCTTCTCTTTTTTATCTGCATAGGCAGTTAGGCACCCATTCATTTTGATTTAGTCGGGGCACAAATATAATACAGTCTTTATCCCATTGAAGGTGTCTTAACTTTTATTTTTGGATGTCTGAAAATATTTGTGATCTTACAAAAGTCAAACCCATAACCTCTATTCCTAATGTTATCCCTACCTTTATTCATATGTATGTTACATTCAAATTCAAAATTTAAAATTTGAGGGGCAAAATTAAAAAGAGAAGCATGATATCACAATCAAACTATTCTTAATAAGTTGGGTTTCTTAAAAATGAAAAGATATAGGGTAGAGGGAGTACTATAAAAATGTTATTGAGTTTATTCCATATCGGTTATAAAAGGGACAAGATGCTTGGTTATAAGTGTGTTAGAAAGTTTCACCCCATGAATTAGCTTTTGGGGTAGGAAGGTCCAATAGTACCCAATATTGGTATCAAAACCTATTTACAACATCTTCTTCCATTAAAGACTTGGATGAAAAGTTGATGATCTAATCCGACCTAGAGCCCAATGTGCACAGTTGGATGAAAGATTGATGTTGTTCTAACTTGGTAACTGATATGTGAAGGAGGCCGGGGGGGGGGGGGGAATTATTAGGTTTCTTTCCATTGGTTGTGGAAGGGACAAGGTATTTGGTATAAGTGTGAGCAAAAGTCTTACTTCTTGAATTAGCTTCACTTGGATGAAAGATTGATGCAATTCTAACTTGGTAACTGATATGTGGGAGAGGAGGGAGGGAAGATTATTAGGTTTATCCCCATTGGGCGTGAAAAGGACAAGGTGTTTTGTTATAAGTACGAGAAAAAAGTCTCATTCCTTAAATTAGCTTTTGAAGTGGGAAGATCCAATAGCACTTAATACTAGTATCAAAACTCAATTACAATTTCTCCAAGTAAAGGCCTGGATAAAATGTTGATAACTTGATCCAATCTCGGACCTGATGTAGACACTCAAATGAAAAATTGATGTTGTCCAACCTAATGCTCAATGTGTTGGGGGAGATTGTCAAGTTTATCCCACACTAATAGTGAAATAGACAGATTGCTTAAATATAAGTGTGAGGGAGAGGCTCACCTCTTGAGTTGAACTAGATTTTAAGGTCCAATAGCACCTAACACTAGTATCAAAACTTGATTACAACAACTTCTCCCAGCAAAGACTTGGGTAAAAAGTTGATAATTTGATCCAATCTCGAATCCAATGTAGACACTCAGACAGAAGATTCATATTATTCAACTTAATGCCCAATATGTAAGAAGGAGATTATTGGATTTATTCCACATTGGTTGTGAAAGGAAGAAGGAGATTGTTGGATTTATTCTACATTGGTTGTGAAAGAGACAAATTGCTTGGTTATAAGTGTGAGGGAAGATTGTTGGATTTTATCACACATTGGTTATGAAAGGGACAAATTGCTTAGTTATAAGTGTGAGCGAGAGACTCGCCTCTTGAACTGAGTTAGCTTTTGAGGTGGCAAAACCCAATAGCATCCAATATTAATATCAAATCCTGGTTACAATAATTCTGCCCACTAAAGATTCAGACGGCCTCACCTCTTGAGCCAAGCTATCGTTTGGCGTAGGAAGGCCCAATAGCATCCAATATTGGTATCAAATCCTGGTTACAACAATTCCTCCCACTAAAGATTCAGATGATAGGTTGATGTTGTCTCAACCTAGTGCATGATGTGTGGCGGAGAGATATTGTTGACTTTATTTCACATAGGTTGTAGAAAGAATAAGGTGCTTGATTGTAAGTGTGGAGAGGCCTTATCCTTTGAGTTAACTTTTCGGGTGAGAATAACCAATAGTACCCAACACTAGGATTAGAACCAAGTACAAGAACTCCTCCCAATATAGACTTCATTCAAAATTAATGATCTAATCCAATCTAAGGTCTAGTCTAATCCAATCTAAGGCCTAGTGTTAGAACCAAGTGACAAGAACTACTTCCAATAAAGACTTGAATCAAAAGTTAATGATATAATCCAATCTAAGACCCGATGTAAACGCTTGAATAAAAACTTGATCCTATCCCAAACTGGTACCTAATTTGTGAAGGGGAGATTATCATGTTTATCTCATATTGGTTGTAGAAATGGTAGAATACTTGGTTATAAGTATGAGGTAGAGGCTTATCCCTTTGCTTATCTCGCATTGATTATGGAAAGGATAGAATATTTGGTTGCAACTTGCAAGTACAAGGTAGAGGCTCATCACTTTTACGATGAGAAGTCCCAATTGAGAGTGCACTTTGTATGTACTTTCACTCTCGCAACATATAGAAAAGAATCACACCAACAGAAATGAAACTTCTAATACCATTAATATATTTAGGAAGGATTAGGACAGGATTTTGGATTTAGAATATATTTCCATGACCGATACATCGTCTATGCCTGTATTCTGATTGAAGTCTTTGCAAGTCGTTTGTTTTTTATTCTTATTAAAGGTGAAGTAGGACTCTTGTTCGCGTGATATGACTATTCATAGTATTTCTGACTAAGATTTTATTGGAGCATATGCAAGCATTTAAACATCAAATTACTGGTCATTGAAAACAAGACATAGAACTTGTGGCTGGTCTAATCTTGTTTCCAACTTGTTATTTTGTGACTTCAACATACAATAGTTTCCCTCCTTGATATATTGATGGTTTAATCCTTTATTTATATGTCGGCTAATATCTAGTCCTGCTGCTCTCATAATCTCGAGAAAGCTATCTCATACTTAATATAGGACGTTCTATATACTTTTTGTTCTTTTTTGGTATTTTCATTTTGGTATCTTTGATTGATTTTTTGTATGGTACTTTCCTTTTCTTGATAGACCCATGACATTGGTTCAAAATTTTGTTTTTGATTTAATTGTATTACATGTTCCATCCAAAAACAAAAAAAAAAACGTGAATTATTTTTATCACTATGGTTTAGGGCCACTATATCTTATAAATTCATTATGGTTCAGAAATATTCACTTTACCCCCTAATGCTCCAATATAGGTTTTAAGATAAACTAGAATCCTCAATTTTCCTATTAATCTGAGCAAACTGATCGAATAGAGATGTGAGCTCAACCCTAACAAATTCCTACCAGTATGTAGCTAATGAAATGAAAACCGTTAAAAAGAATTTGTTCATATAGAATTTCATAACTATTGACAGATGACTAAGCCACTCTTCACCCAAAGTGTAGTAGAACCTTCTGCTACTATTGCTATAAACGTTTAAGTTATGTTTCCCATACATGAATCATTAATTGGGAAATTATTAGTACAGTTAACTGGCATTGTTTTTATAGTTTTGCTATGAACTAAAGGGCTGGTAGCAAAGAATAATTAGCTCAACAAACAGAAAAAAGAGGAAAGGAAATTAACCAGAGAAAATATAGAACTTGTTCTTATTTAAGATATTTAAGGTGGCAAACAGAAATACAGATTTTAGGTGGCAACCCCAAAAAAAAAAAAAAAAACTTGAAAACGAAATTCTAAAAGCAATAAAAAACCAGTAGCATGCAGTTCTCTTCTACATTCCCATTGCATTCCTCCTCTCAATTTTCTGCCTTGATCGCTTATTCAGTTCAGTGATTTGCCTCTCCCAAACCTTATTTCCCGTGCAACAATTCATCCCATGCGTTTTTCTTCCCTCCACATCAAGCAAACTAAGCTCATGATCGTACAATTTTCGTGAAATTGGATCAGATAATGTCTCATACGCCATTCTTAGCTCAAGAAATCGCTTAGTCGACTCTTCTTTTGCCGAGGGAGGGCAAGCATCAGGATGGAACTTAAGAGCTTTGCATCGATAGGCTTTCTTGATTTCTTCAGGACCTATGAATTGGGAGGAATCAAGAGAAAGTATTTCGTAAAAGTTGGCTGCCCTTCCATTTTGCAGGGTTCTAGCAGCCTGATGACATGAGATCACAGTTTTGTGCCCAAAAATCTTCTGTTTACAGCCTTCTTTCTGATTGAATTGAACCAATTTTCCAAACGATGTACTGATAATACTATTTATTTGCATGGATACTTCCATAATATAGTTTTGAAACTGAGAAAGAAAGGGAGAAATCTTTTGCTTAATTTCCACTTGAAATGAGAACCATACATAATGCAAGCTAGTATGCGCTATATATTGAGAAAATTAAAGAAAGCAATTCAGGACCTTTCATTTTCGGGTATGACTTTGGCTTAAAATGACTATTTTTCTTATCCAGTTTCCATTCATAACTACAAGCAAAGTGTTATTTTTTCATTGGACAGGTGAAATCAATCTATGTTTTTGTAGGATTTAGTTTCTTTCATCAAAGCAAATTGTCTTACATCAACTGGAGTTTGAATTGGTTCCAACATGTACAATAAACTAACGTAAAACTAGAGATCATGGTTGTAGAGGTCAAAACAAAAAGAAAAAGAAAGTATACAAGCACTTATTTCTTCTTTTTAATTTAAAAGAAGGTATACAAGCAGGTTTGGAGTTAATCAGACTCACTCGTGTAAGTAGGTAGAACATATAAGCTTATAAGATGCATTTTATGTTTTACCATATTTGGTTTTTGGGCCAAAACTTTTCCTCCATCAATTTCATTCTTTCTTAGTATTTGGAAGCTTATGGGAAGGACGAATTTGCTAAACTTACACAAAATATTCTAATACCATTTCCCCTACTGCAGATATTGGCACTAGTGTACTTGTTCCTTTCACCTGTTTGTATATTAGGTAAAATGCCTAACTATCATCTAAGAAGCTGCTTCTCTTTTAAGGACCACAAAAAAAAAAAGGACTGCTTTTATTGCTAATTCTAGCATCCCAAATCCTATACAGTTAGAGCATGTTCATCCTACTGCATGATTTTTCAAAGAAGTGTTTGGCCCAAGAAAGTAAACGGTTTCTGTTGTACTCTCAGAGTTCATCTGGGACAGGTCTTATAAGGAAAATTTGTTGATAAATCTAAAGCACGTACAAGTTGGCACAAGGTACTACATGTCAAAAGCCCAGATTGATGTGAATGTGAAACTGCTTCTTGGATTTGTCAAGATTTAGCAGCCCTAATTGAATGAAGTCAAATTGAGGCTTCATTATTTTAGTAGCATATATAGGTCTAAATCCTGAATTTGGTATGTTAAAATGTGTGTTGTTTCATGATAGGTTTACTTTATAGTTTGAGATTTAATACTACGTAATTGTCGTTTTACATCTTTTTCTATCCAATCTATCTGTTTTGTCTCTAATCATGAGTCATTCTATACCGTTCGTGAGCCAATACTTACCGACATATTAAAAAGAAGAAAGTTTCATTGTCTTCCTCATTAGATCACTTTCCTACAAATTTAGTTAATGTTGACTTTTCATGCCTATATTGCAGGGCAAGCTTTATCTAATTGCATATAAAATTGTTGCAATCTACATATAGAGGATTTGATTCTCATCAAGATGAACTAAATTTCCATCAAAATCTTCCTTGTCCCTACTTTCACCATTGCTTTCTTTCGTAGAAAAATCCATTTTCTTGACTAAAGCGCAGGTTGATCGTACTAATAGGTGTGATTATTCTCAATTGCGTCAACATGCTAGTTTTTGACTGGCAAATGGTTTTATTTTCTTCCAAAGCTTGCTAGTCAGTCTATTTTTTCAGTGCAATGTCACATAATTTTTTAAAAGAGAATAATGACTGCTGTTTCCCTTTTCAAAAAAAAATAATAAAAGACCTATATTATACTGTCTAATAGCTCTGTGAGTCGTCTTTTGGATGATTTTCTAGCGTTCAAGTTAGGCTTACTCAATGACTTCACATCCTTGACTTCCATTCTTCTATTTTGCCAGAAATGTGGCTACATCACGTCAAAGCAACAGATGGCTTCAAAAGTATGTCCAGAAAAGTATCAACATTTGAACCAGAAAAAAAAAAAGAAGAAAAATCTATTATTGGATTAGGTAAAATTTCCGAAGGTAAGTTGAGAATGAAAACATAACTCCCATCCCAGAATTCAAGTTTTACAAGTACAACTGCTCTCTATGACTGCTGAACAAAAAAGGGTAGCAAGATATGATGCTTTTTATTTGCAAGGACACTTCCATATTTGGCTACTTTCACTCGAAAAAGGAAAAAGAGAAATGTTTTTGTTACTTTCCACTAGAACTGAGACCTATATATGATGCTAGCTAATGTGCATTATCTAAGGAGAGATGGTAACATATACACTATTAAATTAAAGCTTTCTATCTATGTTTTTGTGGGGTTTGATTAATCTCTTCAAAGAAAATTGTCTCACATCGGTAGGATATTGAATTGGTAAAACGTGTACAACACTTTAAAAAAGCTGTACAGCTCACTCAGACTCACTCAAATTAAAAAAATATATATAGATGCAATTAATCTGCATATGAGAAGAAATAGAAGAATAAAAAAAATGGCATTACACCAGAACATTATGCTAAGTAGCCTTGTGAACAAAAGTAACACACGGATATCCCTTGACAAAAGTTCATCAAGAAGGGAGAAAGGTAATCTTAGTTAATCCTTGGAGCTATAATCTATAGGGATAATTTCAGAAGCCTCCCTTGAGGTTTTTAACAATTTCACTCAGTACCCTTAAGTTTTAAAAACTACACATAACTCCCTTGAATTTACCATTTTGGTAACAAAAACTATTCAATGGTCAAAATTTTGAATGAATAACCCAAATTGCCCTCATGAAATTGTGAAATTTATTTTACCTTCTTATAAAATTCTATAAAAAAAATATGGAATATGCACAAAATCTCAAATCCACTTTCAACCCTCATCTCTACTATTTTAGACCTTTCATATTCTTACATCTCAAATTAGTATCATTATCATCATGACCACCATTACCATCAGTCCTTAAATTCTAAAATCCAAATCTAAGTTACAAAAGAAAAAAAATCAATACTGTTAAATTTAAAAAATTTCACTAATTGTATTAATATAACATCTCATCTCTCAAATGCTGGAGTACCAATTCATGCCTATTATATTTAAATTTTCAGCTTACATCTTCTTCTATTCATCTTTAGATCTTTCAAGCCAAACTAAAATTAATTTGTTATATGTTAAAATTATGTTTAGGACATAATTAGTTATTCTATAAGTGACCTTATTTTTGTTTCCATTAAATATTTAATTGTGTGGTGCATTTCTATACACAAGATTAGGAGAGTATTATTTAATTGCATGAAAAATATTAATATATTAAGGTTATTATGGTCATTTTATAGGATCAAGTGAGGTAAGTGTAATATTGAAAATCTCAAGGTACTAGATGAAATTATCGGAAATCTCAAGGGAGGTTTCTGAAATTATCCCTAATCTATATTCGAAAGATTTTTTTCTAATATTATTGAGGGTGTCTATGTGATATTGACGTTTGTTTTAGGTCTTCTCATGTTTTATTCTTTTATTGGACTGGTGGCTTCTGTCTGCGTCTTTGTAGTACTTAATTTCTTCAACGGAAATTTTCTTACATCATTCGGATTTTGAATTGGTAAAACGTGTACAACACTTAAAAAAGGGTAACGCTAACACTAAATTGTTGATAAGTTAAACAAATGTATATGCGAGCATGAATTCAATCTCACTCATGCAAGTTGACTATGGTTTACTTGTACTAGGTGTTTGTGCCAAAATTTTAATTCTTACCTTCATCCTTTTTTTTTTTCTGTAAGTACGAGGTTAAAAATCTGAAATCTTGTACTTACACTCTCTCCTCTTGTGCCACCTAACCTAGCCCTCCTATCTATTTTATTCTTTCTTAGAGACTTTGAGGTTGACAAATAGAACAAATTTGCTAAATTTATGAAATTATTCCTATAGATTTCCACTACCAAGTACAATATGTACTCATCTGAAAAATTGGTTGTCTAGGAAATGTTTGCACTATAAGGTAGACCCTACGAGTATAAAGAACTAGGAAAGAAGAAATCGACTTAAGAGATTGTTAATTGTAATATCTGAAATACTATGTACGTTATTAGCACATGTCTTCGTTTTTAGTGTATGATGTTGTGAAGAAGTTTTTAGTCCAAGGGAGTAGTTTTTGGACCTTAACTCTTGCTATTATACTTGCTTCGTAATAAATCACACTACGACATAAAGAGGAAAAGAACTTGAATATTGTAAGTTGAGAAGGATCATCTCTAATTATGTCAAAAAGCCAAGATTGATCTGAATGTAAAGCCATTTCTTGGATTTTGTCAAGCTTTCACTGCTTGCTTGACATGGAAGCCAACTTAATTCTTCATTATTTTAGTCGAAGAAGTAGCTTTGAATCCCAAATTTGGTGGTTTTAATTAGTATTGTTTGCGTAACAAATCTCTAATTTCCCTGAAAGCATTAACTTCCTGCAGGGAAAATAAATGAACCGCCTTGACAACTTTTTCTTGTATAAGATCATTAAAGGTGACAAACAGGATAACAAAATATTTAGACAAAAAAATTAGAAAACCATGAAAACAAAAATCCGAATGCAGAAGAAACTGGTGGCGGTTTTCTTAATTTCACATTCCCATTATCTTTCTCTTCTCCATTTTTTGCCTTAATAGCTTATTCAGTTCAGTGATTTGTCTCTCCCAAACCTTATTTCCCATGGAAAATCTCATCCCATGTCTTGTTCTTCCCTCCACATCAACCAAACTGAGCTCATGATCGTACATTTGTTGCGAAATGGGATCAGATAATGTCTCATATGCCATTCTCAGCTCAAGAAATCGCTTTGTTGACTCTTCTTTTGCGGATGGAGGGCAAGCATCAGGATGGAACTTAAGAGCTTTGCATCTGTATGCTTTCTTGATTTCGTCAGGACCTACAAACTTGGAGCAATCAAGAGAAAGTACCTCATAAAAGTTGGCTGCTCTTCCATTTTGCATGGTTCTAGCAGCTTGACAGGAGATCATAGATCTGTGCTGAAGAATCTTCTCTTTACAGTTTCCATTCTGATTGAATAATTGGATCTTTTTCCCAAACTGAGTACTAATACTACTAATTTGCAACGATACTTCCATAATATAGTTTTGAGACTGAGAAAGAAACAGAACAATATTTTGTTTAATTTCCACTAGAACTGAGAGCTATGGTGTAGCTAGTATGCATTATATGGAGACTTTGTAACATATGATCAGCTATTAAACAAAGCTTAGAGAAAAGGACAGCAACGGAGGAACTTTGAGTATGTCTTTGGCTTGAAGCATGTCTTATTCTTTTATTGGTCTGATGGCTTCCATCTGTATATGTTTTTTTTTATAATTTAATTTCTTGCAAAGGAGATTGTCTTAGATCAATGAGATTTTGAATTGGTAAAACGCATACTACACTTAAAAAAATACGATGTACTAAATTGTTGATCAGGTAAACAATTGTATAAAACAATTAAAAAGGACAATACTTAAGATTTAATATATACAATCCAAACACATATGTGAATAAATTCAAAATCACTGGGAATTAAGTGAATATTTATATAAAAAAATGGGGCTAAGTGATTATTATGATTTCACCACATGTACTTTTGTGTCGAAAGGTTGTATAGAAGATCTTTTGATCCACTTTCCTCTTTACATAAAAATTATAGAGCGTTATGTAGATATTTTGAAACCACAAAAGAAGTCATGTGGTCATGAGTAATTTACCATTTATACTTGCTTAAAACCACCAGGCTGGTGGCCACCACTAATGCATTAACATTTGGTGGGTTGAGTGGCAAGAGTTCGAACCTTGCCTCCCACCAATTTGCCACAATTAAATGAGGCATTGCTTAAAAAATTCAGACGGGTGTGTAGTGCAAGATTTGATTCTTTGTGAAGTAATATTCTGTATCTTTTTTATATCCAATTAATCTGCATATGAGGAGAAACAGGAAGATCAAAGAATATGGCATTACACCAAAAAGGTATAGTGAGTAACACATCAATATCCCTTAAAAACTCCCTGAGGAAGAAATGAAAGTAATACTTAGTTAATTCTTAGAGCTGTAATCTACATCTATCTATATAATTTGATAATTTGGTGTTTTATATTTTCTTTCCAAAATTACTCCTACCATAAGATAATTAGGACTACTTTATGTCTCTAAATTTGAATGCTTTTTCTGACATTATTGAGTGTATATATGTAATTGCGATGAATTTCATTATGAACTACAATTACATCTTAAATGAGTTAGAACTTTTCTTTTTTCTTTTTTTTTTTTGGTCAAAGGTAATTTTTTATTAGAAAAATTTTGGCAGAGTTTCCCCTTATAAATGGACGAAACTCCCTGCCAACAAACCCAAATACAAGAAAATTATCCACATGGTAGTAAGTTACTACAATGTAACTTTACGACAGTTTGAAGACAATTTAATAACAACTGCATGGTTAAAATAGAATGTGACGGCCAACCAAATAAGGCTCAACTGCAGAATTTCGAACTGGGCTTTTCATCCACGCTGAACACATTTCCTAATTGAAGGCAGGCCTATTCTATCTAAGCGAAACGCCCCACGAGCTTTCATATGGAGGTCCACAAGCTGATGATATGTTGTATTGAAACCTTGATCACATCCCATGTTTGCTAAAGAATCGACAACTTGATTACTTTCCCGAAAGCAATGAGAAATTGCAACAAAATTAGACGAAAACTTTAGAAGGTATTTAACCTCTGTATAAATACTCCATGGACAGCTAGATCCCTATTTTAGGATGTGAACAAGAACCAACGAATCCATTTCAATGTGCAAGTTAACATAACCACGAGAGAGACACAACTTAACCCCAAAGAGAAGAGCGAGCGCCTCAGCTTGAATGCTGGTTACATTCCCAAAAAAAAAGGAGAAAGTTAGCAGGAATTTCCTCCATCATCACGCAAAACGTACCCCACCACCACCTGCCCTCCCTGGGTTACCCCTTGAACAGCCATCAGTATTAAGTTTAAATACACCCAAGAGTGGCCGACACCACCTTACAATCATAAATGAGACTTTCTTATGAATATATATAAGAGAGCGAAGAATAAAACTCCATCCATGTTGAGGAAGTGAATGGGTACCCAGGGAATTGCAACCTAAAGAGGTCCTTCACATTGTCAAAAACAAACTCAGAGATAGTGACGTGAGAAAGAAGTTTCCCTTCAAAACGTGCCGAGTTTCTGGACTTCCAAATATTCCAACAAATCAGAGAAGGTATAATAAAATGAAGGGTAAAAAATCTCAGCGGCCACTAAACTATTAGTCAGATCATGTTTTGGCCATCAAACTATTTTTCATCAGTAATTAACCACTAAACAACTTAATCAATAAACTCGTGACCATTTAGTCGATAATTGCTCTTAATCTGTAAAATTAACAGTTAATCTGTGAAATAAGGTCGCATAATTGTTAGACAAAATTACCCCGCACTTTGCCACGTGTACAGTTAATTTCACAGATTAAGAGCAATTATCGACTAAATGGTCACGAATTTACTGATTAAGTTGTTTAGTGGCCAATTACTGGCGAAAAATAGTTTGATGGCCAAAATATGATCTGATCAATAGTTCAGTGGCCGCTGAGGTTTTTTGCCCTAAATTGAACAAATGCAATGAAACCAATTCTTGGTGCGCTATACCACCAACCTGCAATATATGCCCGAACCGAGCCACCTGAATTAAGCCCACTTGAGGCAGAGCCAAAGAAATTCCAAACTGAAACTGCTACCTGTCCATTACAAAAGACATGGTCCAAAGTCTCACCATTAGCTTGGACACAACAGAAACACTTTGATGGGCCCGAAATACCAAGTTTGCATAACGTGGAGTCCATGGGTAATCGATTTCGCAACAAGCGAAGAAGAAAAACAGATACTTTGGAAGGAATTTGTGGGTGCCAGACTTTTGAGAACATAAATGACCTTTGCTTATGTGATTGCACCAGGTTAAAAGCTGAGCTCAGCGTGAAAACACCAGATTGAGAAGGAGCCCATATCATTAAATCTTCCACACCATTCTCAATTTGAGGGAGAGAGAACATTCAGATGTCATTGATAATAAATGGAGGTACCCACAAACCCAGCAACTGAAAATTCCACCTGCCATCAACTAAAAAGTTAGAACTTTTCTTTTTATCATTGAAAGGTTCATTATGTCTAGCAAGAGAAATAAGGTGTCCGGCTTCTATTTGATGAAAAAAAATCTTCGGGTTTACAGGTTAATATGGTTAATAAAATGTGTAAAGGGTTTCAAGTTGGATTAATTTAATCTAATTAGGAATTTAGACTAGAAAGCTATTCTGATTTGAATAAGTGTATTTAGTAATGGCTTGTAGAAACATATCCAGACAAAAAGAAAACTCCTTGATGAGGATGTTAGAAACTAGACTAACCTTAGTAGGAAAGCAAATTTTTGGTTTTTGGTTTTTGTAGAATAAAAATTAAAATAACTAAGTTAAATTTTTATAATTTTCTTGGAGCTCTTTTCATGAATGAATTTTATTAAACTAATTTTTTACTGATAAAAAAAAATTGCACTATATGTAGTCATTTTGAATAGCTGACCATATTCCAGAGATTCACGAGATGCAATATGAAACTTGGAGAATGAAATTTGGATTTTCAGAAAGAACCAGGATTTGCATTTTCAAATGGGTTGAATTAATTGAGTCCCGGTAAGTTAGAAAACGAAATTCTTCCAAAAGTTGAAATTTTCTTGGTTCCCAGCTGTTTGGTTCAGCTTTGACATTGTAGTAATTAGCTACTTGCCTCTGACTTCCATAGGAAAAATTGACTTCCTGGTGGGAGCAATCTGGACTTAATGGATGGTACCTAGCTACTTGGTTCAGCTTCCACATTGTGATTAGCTACTAGCCTCTGATTTCCGTACGAAAAATTAACTTCTTGGAGGGACCAATCTGGACTTAATGGGTGGCACCTAGTTACTTGATTCAGGTTTGAAATTGTAATTGGCTACCAGCCTTTGATTTCTATAGATATGCATATATATTTATGGAGCAACTCGTACAATTGGTTAGACCTGATGATTTATGATTTACGGTGTAATCTTTCTTATCTTGCAATTCTCTCTATTAAATCTAATGATTTTTCAAACCATGTATATCGATGACATGTTCTATACATATTTTGCTATTAGTGCAAATTTTTTGTCAAACAAATTATGCTGCACGATTTCTAATTATTGTGATCTATGAGATGTTCTATATATTTTTTGCTATTAGTGCAGTTTTCTTTATCAAACAAATCGTAATAGACAATTTTCAATTAGTTTATTAATAATATTGGCTACCGTTTTATCAATAGTAAAAAAAAAAAAAAAAAAAAAGATCACATTTGCAAAGTTTTCAACAATAGGACTAATCACTTAAAGCATCAATGAAAAGCTCAATCAGTGAAGTGCTCTTGAATAAATCGCAGCAATCCCAGTTTCAAAAACTCTGGATTTGATATTCTCTTTGATTTACTTATAGGTTTGAAAATCAAGAATCATGATCAGATGGGGAATTGAACTCATGTGCTTCTTAAGACTATTTGCAATACAACTGGTCATTTCAAGTTTACATTTAGCATAAGTTCGTAATCTTATCAACTCGAAATTAAACACGCAAGATGACTCTGCTTAAAATGACTTTCTTTCTTGTTATATCGTCTTTCCTAGACGCAATCACGTGATATTCATTTATTAGGCGGTGGATTCCATCGGTTTTAAGTCGGTGTAAGGAAGTCCCCGTGCCCCGCCCGCAACTGCCCTACGGGGCTAATAAAAATTTATTATATAATTTTATTATAATTAAATTTTAACAAATAATCAAGTACATACTAAACTATCAACACATCACCCAATTATTATTCATTGTAATTTCACAGTTGAAACTCATAAAAATAATCAAACAAAAGTTGTTTGAATACAATCCAACATGATAAAATAAATACAACTAAAGTAATTAAGTTTTTACTTTTGGCACAAATACAATCACTAATTCATTATTGTTCTTGTGTTTTTTTTTTTTTGAGAAAAAAGTGTTAGTGTATTAAGCATAAT